AAATATACAGGATTGTCAAAACTTCCCTAACTAGAACCAAAATGAACCTAAAGTTATCTTTAAAGCATTAAATAAAGTTCGAGTTAAGTGTGTTTCGTAGTACCATCTACTATTGGCACCTTATTGATGATAGAACTGAAAGTATCAAGTATTTGTGAAGGATTTTCCCCTACAATTTTCAAAGGCTCTGCTTGCTAGATGACAACAGGCATCTTGCAGTTGGCCAGAGCCCAAACCAAGTACATACTTGTAAATGCTTGCTTCCCCGTTTCAAAGTCTTCTTTTAATGTTGCTTTAACCTCATTTTCAGTTCTATAACTATAAAAACCCATCGTTGACGGTTCCCGACTCTTTCCGATCACTTTTACAACAAATTCCAACTAGCGATCGACAAACACTGCATGAAATTTCGACGAGATCCGAATCTACTAATCACTAATTTCATTGAAATGTCTACAAAGTCTTTGAAGTTACGTAAATGGACTATACACTTGTTTTTATAACAATAACACATTCATTAATTTCAATAAATAATAATACAAGTTTTTCCTTTAAGATAGACCATCTAAAATTATTTTACCTATTATTTCTATTTGTTTATTACCTACCATAATGATAACAAATGCAAAAGATAAAATATTTAAGTAACTTTTTACTATTGAAAATTAAATAAAATGTGGATTAAAATGTGGGTATTTTGGGTGTACAGGATCATCTACTTTTACAAGTAACGCCTTTTAGACTTTCGATCATAGACTAAAACAGAGAAAATACCTACAATAGACGTCACGCTGTTCGTACCCACATTGCGGTTTTTACTTTTAAATCCAAAAGCAAAACGTTGGCGACACAGTTATTATGAGTTTTAATTTACGTAACATGCAACATTGCAAAATGATATAACAATTGAATAGACACAATAATTTCACCTGACCAAACGAAGGTCATTACTAACTAAACGTTCTGCGTATAGTTGTTAAAAAAACTCCGATAATGTCATCGAACTTGTTCATACGTAAAAGAAATGCTCCAAATGGTAGCATTGAAAAAGAAAAAATAAACAATTTTTTGCCGATTATCCAGAAGCATTGAAAATAAAATAAAAATTAACCTTTAGGTACCGTTATGTTTATTATTTGTTTTCTTGCTTTTGTTGCACTTTTTAATATAATTGAAACATCAGAGGAATTTCGGAAAACTGAAAGTTTTTTCACTAAAACATTTAGTGCACGTAAATTTTCAACTATTTAAGAAATTATTTTCTAAACTTTAAAACTCATGAAATATGTAAAAAAGTACGTAGAATCTTGTGGTGCCAATAGATTTTAGATTCGAATTGAAATTAGAACAGTACGACGTGTGCGCCTATAAAATTATATAAAAGTGTCAAAGATAAAAAAGCGCACGTAAATTTTCCACTCTTTAAGAAATTATTTTCAAAACTTTAAAACTCATGAAATATGTAAAAAAGTATGTAGAATCTTGTGGTGCCAATAGTTTTTAGATTCGGATTGAAATTAGAAGAGTTCGACTTGTGCGCCTATGAAATTATATAAAAGTGTCAAAGATAAAAAAGCGCACGTAAATTTTCCACTATTTAAGAAATTATTTTCTAAACTTTAAAACTCATGAAATATGTAAAAAAGTACGTAGAATCTTGTGATGCCAATAGATTTTAGATTCGAATTGAAATTAGAACAGTACGACGTGTGCGCCTATAAAATTATATAAAAGTGTCAAAGATAAAAAAGCGCACGTAAATTTTCCACTATTTAAGAAATTATTTTCTAAACTTTAAAACTCATGAAATATGTAAAAAAGTACGTAGAATCTTGTGGTGCCAATAGATTTTAGATTCGAATTGAAATTAGAACAGTACGACGTGTGCGCCTATAAAATTATATAAAAGTGTCAAAGATAAAAAAGCGCACGTAAATTTTCCACTATTTAAGAAATTATTTTCTAAACTTTAAAACTCATGAAATATGTAAAAAAGTACGTAGAATCTTGTGGTGCCAATAGATTTTAGATTCGAATTGAAATTAGAACAGTACGACGTGTGCGCCTATAAAATTATATAAAAGTGTCAAAGATAAAAAAGCGCACGTAAATTTTCCACTATTTAAGAAATTATTTTCTAAACTTTAAAACTCATGAAATATGTAAAAAAGTACGTAGAATCTTGTGGTGCCAATAGATTTTAGATTCGAATTGAAATTAGAACAGTACGACGTGTGCGCCTATAAAATTATATAAAAGTGTCAAAGATAAAAAAGCGCACGTAAATTTTCCACTATTTAAGAAATTATTTTCTAAACTTTAAAACTCATGAAATATGTAAAAAAGTACGTAGAATCTTGTGGTGCCAATAGATTTTAGATTCGAATTGAAATTAGAACAGTACGACGTGTGCGCCTATAAAATTATATAAAAGTGTCAAAGATAAAAAAGCGCACGTAAATTTTCCACTATTTAAGAAATTATTTTCTAAACTTCAAAACACATGAAATATGTAAAAAAGTACGTAGAATCTTGTGGTGCCAATAGATTTTAGATTCGAATTGAAATTAGAACAGTACGACGTGTTCGCCTATAAAATTATATAAAAGTGTCAAAGATAAAAAAGCGCACGTAAATTTTCGACTATTTAAGAAATTATTTTCTAAACTTCAAAACTCATGCAATATGTAAAAAGGTACGTAGAATCTTGTGGTGCCAATAGATTTTAGATTCGAATTGAAATTAGAACAGTACAACGTGTGCGCACAAGTCTTATAATTAAAGAACACCTACATTCCTCTTCTAAATCTGTTATGTGAAGTACTTGTTCCATAGAACACTTAAATTTGCTACTTCTCAAAGTCATAAGTTATAAGGCTATTGTGTGAATTCCTCCCCTATTTTGTTCGTCCCCCTCCCCCGAAAATGGGTCAAACAAGAACAAATTAAAACAATTATATGTAGAATACATAAAGAACGATCGTTTCAGTTGTTGCAATTGTTTGTTATACAGTAGTCGTTACTCAATTCGTGAAGAGAGAGAGATGTCATCGCCAACAACCCATGTGGCCTACATTCAAGCATTTACATCTGCCGAGGACCGGCTGACCTATCTACATAACATGTACCACACGTATCTATATACAAAGAAGAAGAATCAATTGATTATTTCTAGCGACCGCGGAACGAAAACAGATTCAATCGCGAGCCCCAGAGCTAGGCGAATTCGTAAGAAGATGCACATCATCAGATCAGATATAATAATGTGGTTCTTGGTTGGCAATAGACAGACGACAGGTTGCGTCATGTGACACACACACAGTTCGTAATAAACACCGCAAACATCTTCGACCTAAAATCCCACTACTCTTCTCCTGATAACACACTATCGCATGGGCGTACTCCGCTCTGCTGCGTGAAGTAGAAACACGAACTCAAACACTCTACCAACTAATACTAAAATGGCATCGACATATTTTTAGACGCTGATGGCACGTGCTTAAGCCTGTGCGAGACGCTTATACACATGTATCTATGTACATCTGCACATGCATATGTATAAAATAAATTAACAAGTCCTGCGGGATTAAGAGAATAACCCCAGGCATCGGTAGCACTGCCAGAAAGCTTATTCTATGTACACGTACGTGCGCAAGCGAGTAATAAGCGTTCTTGTTGTCGTGGAAAAAGCTCAATAAAGAGAAGTCAAAAGAAGAGAAAATTGAATGTGGGACTTACCAACCGGGCGTCGTCGTCGAGATCCAGACGCTCGAAGAACTCGCCATCAACTTCTCGGTTGCCTGCAGTTTTTGGTTCGATGATGACGGTCCTCTCTCCCACTCGTCAGATAGACCTCCAACGCTGAAGTACTTGCGTCACAAATACTGAAATATCAATAAAGAACGTTAAGAACTACCAGACGCGAACTTATCAGTTATCATCACTCGATATACTACAGTCAGTAGATATACTAAAAGTAGAAAATCAGACCGTTGTTTAGGAATAAATCAATAAATTAAAATGAGACTCGTTCTAATTACCACAAAGATTGGTAACTGCACCACTCAACATTCAACTAAATAAGAATTTTCAAAATTCAAATAATTTCTAAAATAGGCAATGCAAAAATTGAATTCTTCTCCCACCTTCATGTAACAGCAAGTGTGTATTTTAATTGTAACACCCTGTACCTTTTTATTCAAACAGATACATTGGTTTAACAGTGATGCATATCATACATTAATAAAGACTATGGCGTTATCAAAACATAAAAAAAGTTCGTTACTTTAATCTACAAACTTGTATCAAAATTTCAGCAATCCAATAGGATACTATGATATTAAAAAGTTTTGCGAACAAAATAATATATTATTTGGATCAATATTCTATACTGCATATGTTAACTTATTTATAACTATCTGATTACATACATACTTCTTTTGATTAAACAAATCTATGCAGAAATTAAAATAGTTTTCCATTTCCATCACAAGAACAAATGATTTCTCACATTCTACGTTCTAGCCAATAAACTTTTTAGCAAATAGTTCTTCCAACTTATATTAAGTTACTTTTTTGTAGTTAAAAATTAAACTTGATTGAATACGTTTTTTATTAAATTGTAACGAATAAACAACAACTCTTTCCCCTTAAACAACAATAAATAATTAGTAATTCTATTACTATTGTCATTAAATAACGAAGACTCTACTTTTCCTAGTAAATTATTTTACGATTAATAAAATCTAGTAAACATAAATATTCGGCTTAATAGAAATAGCATCACTTATTAAAAAAATCTCATCGTATATTTAATTGTATTAGTAATTCCTAATTATCTGTTATTTAAAGGTAAAGTAAGTTTTACATTAATTTGAAATTTCAGATTTTATTAAATTATTTGCATGGTGGTGACACCTTTTAACTACTAGAAAAGTAAATCTTCACTGAACCCTTAAAAATTACAGTTAACGTGAAATGTTTGGCGGGAAGTCGTTTTCAATAACCAAAAACAAGTATGATTTTTATTACCGGTCACTTGGCAACAAAAATTGCATTGTACAAAGTTTAACGATTTTTGACTAACATTTGGAGACGTTTTTTCCTGTCTTATTTTCCATTAGTTGACAAGAAGCACCCCCATTATTACAGGTAATATGAAATGCCTTTATTTTGCTTTTACATTGGTTAAAATACAAACGAATTTTACTAAATTGTAATACTGTCATATAATTTGCTATAAATCATTATGACAACATTCTATTTCTAGTTACTTCTTATTTTTTTCTAAGACCATGCATTCTTTTATTTATTTTCTCTATTTTAAAATTTTCAGTTTATTGAAAAAAGTATATATTCAGTTATGGAAATTTTCAACAGTAACAATGGTACAAATAATGAATACCAAGACTTTTATAACACAAAGGGACCACCACTTACTGAAAACGAATTAGAAGAAAAGACAATTGTAAAAGAAAAAGAACTCATTAGATTACGAAAGAAAAAACTACAAGAAGAAGGCGAGAAATTAAGAAAAGAACAAGCAATTAAGAGTATGAAGTACCTCCTCTCTAAAAGTGTGAAATATTCTAACTTTTTCCAAGAGAAACTTCAGAAATACAATATAGATCCAAAAACAAAGTATGTTTAGCTATATTTCTTATAATATTGATCCTTTATTATTAATACTGCTTTTTCTTTAATTATAATTTCAATCCATTAGAAGAAAGAAACCCTTACAAGAAATTAAAGTGGAAGACTGGATGGATAATAATACCGTATTGCATTCCAACAAGAAAGAAAAAAACACTAAAGGTACTAAAAATTTTGCTGAAAAATTATATGTATTAATTATAAGAATCTTATATATGCATATTTTGTAGATAATACAATTGATGTTACCAAACAGATAAAATATTTTGAAGGTGGCACATTAAGACAATATCAAATTGAAGGATTGACATGGATGATTGTAAGTGTAAACTGAAATATATGATTTGAAATTAATGACCTGTGTTACATAGAATATTTTAATTGTAGGTCTTATTTGAAAATGGTGTAAATGGTATATTAGCAGATGAGATGGGTTTGGGGAAAACTGTTCAAGTTATTGCACTAATTTGCTATTTAATTCAAAGAGAAATAAAAGGTCCTTTTTTAATAGTAGCTCCTCTATCAACTATTCCTAACTGGATTTCAGAGTTTAAAAGGTTTGCTCCTAAGATTCCTGTGGTGTTACTACATGGCAATGTTTATGAAAGAAATGATCAAATCAGAAATATTTTGCAAAGGGAATATAAGTTAGAAGGAAAACCTGTTCAACCAGTGGTTGTTACGACCTATAGCGTGCCTTTTTTAGTAGGAAATTTCTTCAGAAGCCTTAAATGGCAATATGTAATTGTGGATGAAGGACATCGCCTTAAAAACGCCAACTCAAAATTATCCCAGTGAGTTTTAAATATTTATTAAGAATGAATGATGAGGAGTACTCTAATAAACAATTCACATCAACTAAGAATCTCTAAAAAATACACATCACGCATTTTTGCACAACAGTGCCATTTTTTAATCTAATACAGAAAGTACATTCGGGTTTATATGTATATAACACACACTATTATGTACTTTTCTTTAAAGAATATTTTTTATTTTTAGGGAGTTACGTTGCTTAACAACAGTTAACAAATTATTATTGACCGGGACTCCTTTGCAGAATAGTTTAATAGAATTATGGGCCCTTTTAAATTTTCTTTTGCCTCATATTTTTACCGATATGGATACTTTTGCTTCGCTCTTGATGTTAGAAGACGTGGACGTAAGTTTTTAATTTGTTATAATAAAGATATTGACATGTATTTTTGCTTAAATTGTTTATAGAATGGTAAAATAGTGCAAGAAGAAGAGAAAAACAACGTCATTTCGACAATTCATAAGGTGTTGGCCCCGTTTATGTTGCGTAGATTAAAAAGCGACGTAATGACAGATCTGGTTCCTAAAAAAGAAGTTTTGGTATACTGCCCCTTAACAGAACTTCAAAGAGATCTTTACACTTACATTATACAAAAGAATATTGCAAAATTGCGGGGACAAGTGAGTAACGGGAACGATGAAGTTTTAAACTGTGTAAGTCATTTTGTTTGCATGATATCTCTTGAATTGTCTTCTTTATCTTTACTTTGTAATCATGCTTTAAAATCGAATGGGGGATGGTATAGAGCAGACACTTGACAGTGTTAATTTGTATGTTTTATTTGTTTCTATCTTTTAAAGAGCATGTATTTGTGTTTTCTTTGTTAATAAAAAAGTTTATTATTATATGTTAAGTATAATATTCCTTAGCAAGAACAATTCGATAATGTGAACAGCTATTGCTTTTGGTTCACACTATCGAGAATCTACTATATACGTTTTCCACATTTTTTCAGTTTTTAAATTCTATTAGGAAACATTTTTATGCATTTAATAGGGGCTTACTTAAACTTATGTATTTTATAATTACTTGACGAACTTTTTACTAACAGTTTGTTAATTTTTGTTAGGATAATGAAGTAGTTGATGATGAACCAAAAAGAAAACGTGCCTGTGTATTAAAAAAAACGAGTTATGTTGAAAAAACTGAGAATGATGTGGAAGACCTTTTTTACGAGGAGTTTATAAAAGAGGAGGAAGCGTTATTGAAGAAAAATCTCAACCGTGAAAGGGTCCATTTTATCTACAGAATTACCCTCCAAAACAACATGATGATGTTTAAAAAAGTCGTCGACCATCCTTTTCTCGTTCATTTCCCCTTGGACCCAACCAGTAAGGAAAAAAAGCTGCTAGTCAATGAAGATATAGTTACCCAGAGTGGCAAAATGCTCGTCCTAGATGCTATGCTTGCTAAACTTAAAAAAAAGAATCATAAGGTATTCATGCATTTATAACTTTTTTGGTACAAAGTATATTCACATCTTCAAGAAAAATTATTATTTAATCACATGTTGTCATTGACTGAAAGTTAAATGAAAACTGAAACATGGTGAATTATTAAAATTTCCTTTTCAGGTTTTGATATTCAGTACTTTAGTTATGCAGTTGGACATTATTGAAGATTATCTTATAATGAGAGATTATAAGTACTGTAGATTGGACGGCCAACAAAAATTGTCCCAACGCCAGGAGAATATTGAAATGTTCAATAAGGATCCTGAAACTTTTGTTTTTCTAATATCAACTCGAGCAGGAGGTTTGGGTTTGAATTTAACAGCAGCCGACACGGTTATTCTTTATGATAGAGATTGGGTTGGTTTTTTAACGCTATCTTTATGATGCTACTTTTTTGTAATAACATTCAGAATAACTGCTAATTTTCCAATATTTGTTTAGAATCCCCAAGCTGACATTCAAGCACAAGATAGATGTCACCGAATCGGTCAAAAAAAACCTGTTGTTGTTTACTCATTAGTAACAAAAAATACTATCGATGAGCAAATTATTCACTGTGGAAATTTGAAACGACGCTTAGAAAAAATTGTGATGCAAGATGGTAGGTAAAACTTCATCATTTTTATCGTCTTAATGAAACCATTAAAAATTTTCAAGGAAAATTCAAATCATTAAAAGGCGATGACAAAGCAAGAGCTGAGCTGGATTTGGAAGAGTTACAGAGACTATTAAATTTGAGCGATTACTCACAGAAAATACATTCGAATGGTTACGTATTTAGTGACGAAGAACTTGAAAAGTTACTGGACAGAAGCGACTTATACAAAGAACTCGAAGCTATGCAATTAAAAGAATTATTGTAATAAAACACACGCTCTTCCAGTGCTTCAAGTTGTGATATTATATAATACTTATTTGTTAGTCTAGTAAAAACCTCAGGACGTTGTTAACTCCTTTAATTTAATCTGTATTTTGGTGTAGTGACATGTCAGTCTTAATGTTGTATTTATTTGATGCTGCAAAAGTCAATCTTTTGTTAACCAAACTAAACGTTTTAGTAAGTAGTATGTAACATGTTCGTACCTTGTTTTTACCTTGTCTGTTTTTCTTATTTATTATAATGAACACTATATACGAAAAACATTTTGTGTATAACTTATGTAAGTTTAAAATTAACGTTTTGCTGTTACAGAAAGTTAGAATGGTAGTCAAACAAAAGATGTCTTTTCCTACGTATTAATAATTAGTATGTTAGTTTGTGTTTGTCATTTTCTACATTTTTATAATAAAAGTTTTTTTCCATTGCTTATTTTAATAATATTCTGTTATATATAACTTTGAATGATTAATGTTTTGGCTTAATCTTAATGTGATTACATAGAGACTGGCTAATAGCTGGATATTATGTATAATGACTAAATGAGTTCATAATGTGATAAATTTATCACTTTGTCTAGATATTATAGATAGATTTGGTTAAAGAAATAAACACGATCCCACTTTCTCAACCATAACCTGAGGATCATAAAGTTACATTGGGAAAAGACAACACTCACGAAGTGTCGATTCAGTTAACCAAGTTAATCTCTTTATTTGTCTTTGCCTTGTCTTCCCCCTTATGTACTTCAGTAGCAGCAAACACCCACTAGATGGCGATTCACTACCCGAACAGAAATACTAAGTATACGAAAGTTTTGATAAAATCTTCTAAGTTTGTTTTTAGTAAAAACATACACATACAAGTAAGAATAAATTCTGTATTGTAATTGGAATGTTACATACAACTCTTACTATTACTTTTTACAAAGATAAAAACGATTGACACAAATGTAGATACATCTTAAAAGACCTAGTCAAACTTATATAACTAGACAATCACATTTATACGCCTTAAAAGTTCATTAAAATTGTCAGCATAAATAAAAGACATTAAACATAAAAATCTATAGTCGCCCAAGACATGTTGTATCTTGTAAAATACTAGACATTAATTCTTTATCACGCAAAGCTAAAACAACTTCCTCTTCGTCCCATTCTAAAGTTACTTTATGAAGTCTTGGTTCTTTTTTACCAGCTACGCGAATAACTCCTTTTGTTTCAATAAGTGAACACAATCCCACGAATTCGGCTTGATCGACTGCATACAAGTTGCGCTTTTCGCAAACGCGACTGTATACTTCATGCAGCTTCCCCATTGTAATATCCTTATTTTTAGCTTTCTTAAGCATCAGCAATAGAGCGCACACAACAATTTTTTGTTGTAGCGGAAAACTATCGCAGTCGTCGTTTAAATTCTGGGAAGTACCATAAACATTATTCAAAACGTCTACAACTTCTTTTACTTCTACTGTTTGAGATACTTTTTCAGTAACTTCATTGTTAAAATTTTCCAAAGATCGTAAAATGTTTTGATTTTTTCGTTCGGCTATTTCTATTACCCGTCTACTGATATCTAAAGCACGTCTTACATCTCCCGAAATTGCAGCAACTTTTCCTGCCAACAAATGTACTGCAGGTGTTGCTAGAACATCAGAAACTCCAGCTTCCTTCAGTCTTTCCATTATAATATGAATGATTTGTTCTTTTGAATATGATGCAAAATGCATCAATTTCGGTTTAAGTTCGCAACGAGCCTGCAATCTGGGAAGAATGCGATCAGTGAGATCAAGAGCATTTGCAATACCAATCAAAATTAATTTTGAATTGGGACGAGATGGCCATTCAAATATTGTATACAAAACAGATTGCTTTTTGCTATCCAGCTGATCTAATTCATCTAGCACAAGCATACTGAAAAAAAAAATAATAAAAATATAACTNACAAAAACAGGCATTAACAAAGAGTGATTCTTAGAACATATTAATGAATTATGGTTTCAAAGTCAATTCATTTACAATATAAGTAATCATTTTTAGCACCATTTAGGGTGTAATGTTTATGTTATAGTCCGAATTTAGAGTCAGCCGCAATGGAAAACATGTATCTGCTTTATGAAACGGCGATATTCGAAAAAACGACTAACATGTAGGCGGACTATCACTGCACTTATTAAATTGTTTGTTAATACATAAAAAGGAAAAAAGTCTACTGAAACCCTATTACCTGAGATAAGTAATAACTAGTTATAATTTGCATTTAATAAAACTATATTTTATTTTACTTGTTAATTTAAATCAAGCAGATTAATCTTGCAACTGACTAGAAAAAGGCACATTAAATATAGTACAAACTAACAGGTTTTAGATGGGACACTTACATCATTTTGTGGTCCTTTGAAAGGTATTTTTCAATAGCACAAATATTCTCTTTTTCAGTCTTTCTAGATGTTTTTATGTTAAGTTCTTCAATTATTCTTGAATATACATAAGATGGGGATTTAATTGCAGTGCAATTAATGTAAATGGTTTTAATTTGTAGCAAAAACTGGAAGAAGAGTAAATTGTTAAAACTAATTTAAAAAAGTTAGTAGTTACTGGACTAAAATATATATATCTATGTATGTATGTACCTTTTCCTTTAATATTTGCGATAAAGCAGCAGTTTTTCCAGTTCCTGGGGGACCACTTATATATAATGTACCTGACTTATTATTATTTAAACAATCACAAATAAATTTTCTAAGTTCCTCAATTTCCTTTTCTCTTTCCCACAGTTGAGCTGGCTGTGTACCATGCAATGCTTTTCGTGCACTTTTGAATTTGCTAGAGAATAACTCTTTTGGCTGAAGATTATTATTTTTAACACCATTGATATCTAATTTTCTCAGAAGTGAAGAAGGTGTTAATTGACCTGTACTATTGTTTTCATCATTTTCTTCTTTCATTTGTTTAGGGGGAGTTGAAGGGCTACATTTTTGCAACTCCTTTACTGAAGTAGGAGATTTCGTTTTTCTTGGTGTTAAGGAAATTTTAGGGTTTTTTAAACCAGAATTTTTCTCTGTAATTTTATTCGACATGTTTTCTGAAAGTTTCGAACGAGTAGCATAGGAGTTTTTGGTTTTTTTTAATTGCTCCAAAGAATTCTTCGTCATTTTTTATTTACTTCAAAATACAAGTAGCACTACACGACACTATTTATATTCGATCTAATTTCTACATTAACATTCGTGTATTAACTTTTCATTCTACTTTTATCCAACTCTGTAAAATTCTTTTATTACTGCTATTTGTTGCTCTTCATAACCAAAATGTCAACATTAATGTAGTATTTTGCATTTATTTTCGCGCCAATTTCCTGGATAGTTTTTAACGTCTTTGGTATGTTCTTTGGTCTTTCCCCATAGATCCCATATCTATGATCATTAATTTTTACTGAATCCGGGTTTTTAGTCAAAAGACGACCTGGGTAACACGTTTTTAATTAATTTAACAGATTTGATAACAACAGGAAAAAAATTGCGAAAAAAATATTATAAATTTAAATTCTAGATTCATACTTTTCTATTCTATTCTATGATTTTTTACGGGATGTGAAAATTGACAGTTGGCAGAATACAGAATACGTCAGTTGTCCTTTCATTTCATAAACAAATGTTGTGGAGGTACGTTGATATTGATTCCAATAAAAATTTAAGTACTAAAGACCCATCGAGCCTTTAAAGAAGAACTCGCATTTATTGCAATGAGGGCAAAGGTATGTGTCTCTAATATTTTTATTTTTAATTTCCGTGATTATTAAAAAAATCGTTTCTAACCATAAAGTATAATGTACGTTATTACAATTTATTGCACGAGATATAGTTGACTATAAAGTAAATTTTGTAAACTAATATTTGGAAGTAAAAGTGATTAAATTAGATTATTAAAAATTTATCTATTTGCAGTGGAGGAAGAAGCGTATGCGAAGGCTAAAACGTAAGCGAAGGAAGATGCGTGCGAGGTCCAAGTAGACATTTCCAACAGGTATGTAGTTTGAGTGAATATTATATTCTTATTTTAAAAACAACACTTTCCTTCCAGATTCATCCACTTTGGAGAACTCGTACATTATTTTTAAGTAATACAAAGTCATTTGTGTTTAACAATAAAGTTTCATAAAGTATTTATTGTGTTTTATTGTGATTTATTATTTGTATGCTTACAATTAAATGCGTTAATGTGCATTATATCTATTCAGTTCTTAGTTCTGCATCTTAAAAATCAGAAAATTTTAGAATTAGAGCTGTTGGTCTTTGTCAAATTTCCATCTTTTTTGTTAGTGTTCATAATAATTGTGAACACGGTATGACAATATGTCCTGATAATGATTACAAATTAATTGGATAAATCGTTTAAAATTGCTCTATTAATTAACACAAATTCACATAGAATAATTATATATCTCGGCGCATCTCTTGTTTAGACACTACTTTAGAATATTTAATCAATGGTGTAGAAGAAAAACAAGATACATAACCTGTAAAAGTCATTACTAGTGGTTGTAACGCATTATAAACAATTTAAAATAATTATTATAAGTTAGCAGTGTTATCCGTGTTTTTCCTTAATGTAATTTTTAAATTATTTACCAGGATTCCTGTAATTTATCTTCAGCTGTGAATATGTCCCGAGATTCAAGTTGTTCAGATAAAGAAAAATCGGTGAAAAGTAGAAAGAGTGGTAATTCTCCAGAAAGAAAACGAAAAAAGTATAAAGATGATAAAGAATCATCTTCCTCTAAAAAAGGTAGACGTGACAGGTCTCCAGATCGTAAAAAACGTTCAAAACGTGAGCGCAGCTATTCCAGATCATTATCTAAAGAAAGAACCAGCAGTTGGGGTAGAAGAGAAAAAAGGAAGTATGTAGATTTAGACAAACCAGCTGAAGAAATTGAATATCCTCGGTATTATGGAAACGATGATAATAGTTTTAAAGAGAACAATGATCAATATTGGAACAAATACCCAAAAAAAGATGATGCTATTGTTGGCTCCAGATATTATGATGGAGGACAAGATAAGGAAGAAAATAAAAGCAGAACAGAAGCTCATGCCAGAAAAGAAGTTGATAAGCAGGAAATAACTGCGAGACAAAGAAAAACTGTAGATTTGCTAACATCTAAAACTGGTGGTGCTTATATTCCACCAGCTAAACTTCGTATGATGCAAGCAGAAATAACAGATAAGTCTTCTGCTGCTTATCAAAGAATAGCTTGGGAAGCTCTTAAGAAATCTATTCATGGTTATATAAATAAAGTGAATACATCAAATATAGGAATAATTGCACGGGAACTACTTCATGAAAATATTGTCAGAGGACGTGGGTTACTAAGTAAATCTCTTATACAGGCACAAGCTGCTTCTCCTACTTTTACTCATGTGTACGCTGCTCTAGTGGCTGTTATAAATTCTAAATTTCCAAATATTGGAGAATTACTCCTAAAAAGGTTGGTGCTGCAATTTAAAAGGGGGTTCAAGCAAAATAATAAAAATACTTGCATAACAGCATCTTCTTTTATTGCTCATTTGGTAAATCAACGAGTGGCACATGAAATTTTAGCACTGGAAATATTAACGCTCCTTGTAGAATCACCAACAGATGATTCAGTTGAAGTTGCCATTTCATTTTTAAAAGAATGTGGGCAGAAATTAACAGAAGTATCTAGTAAAGGTAATGCAATATACAATTGTTTTATTGTTGTAACTTACATTTCACTATTTATAATTTTTCATGTAAACACAATATTTTACAGGTATAAATGCCATTTTTGAAATGTTAAGAAATATTCTTCATGAAGGAAAATTAGAAAAGCGTATTCAGTATATGATTGAGGTGATGTTTCAAATACGTAAGGATGGATTTAAAGATCATGCTGCTATAATCGAAGAATTAGATTTGGTAGAAGAAGAAGATCAATTTACTCACTTAATAACTCTTGATGATGTGGAAACTAAAAATGGGGAAGATGTTTTGAGTAAGTTTTCAATTAATGTATATTACAGTTGATGTATTTAATATGAACATTTTCAACAGATGTCTTTAAATTTGATGAAAAATATGAAGAAAATGAAGGAAAATATAAGACTCTAAGTAAAGAAATACTTGATACCGATTCAAGTGGTAGTGAATCTGGATCTGAAGGATCTGATGAAGATGAGGACGAAGAAGAGGAAGAAGTCAAAGATCAAGGCCTAATAATTGATAACACTGAAACAAATTTGGTAACACTTAGAAGAACAATTTATCTTACAATTCAGTCAAGTTTGGACTTTGAGGAATGTGCTCACAAGCTGATGAAAATGGAGTTAAAACCTGGACAAGAGATTGAATTGTGTCATATGTTTTTAGGTATGAAATCTTTTTTAATTATATTGAAATTGGATTTTAAGATTTTATGATTAATTTATATTTTTTATTTTTTTTTTTGTAGATTGTTGTGCTGAACAAAGAACCTACGAAAAATTTTATGGTTTGTTGGCTCAACGATTTTGCCAGATAAACAAAATATATGTGACTCCATTTGAACAGATATTTAGAGACACCTATGCAACAACACACAGATTAGATACTAACAGACTCAGAAACGTTAGCAAGTTTTTTGCTCATCTGCTTTTCACAGACGCAATTGGTTGGGAAGTTTTAGAAGCAATAAAACTTAATGAAGAAGACACAACAAGTTCTAGTAGGATTTTTATTAAAATATTATTCCAGGAACTTGCAGAGTACATGGGCCTTGGGAAGTTGAATGCTAGACTGAAAGATGAGTAAGTGGTTGTGGTTTTGTACTTTGTACTAATAATGCTGTAGTAAGATTTTTGTTAGAAATTGTAAACATTAATAAACAAACTTAAGTAATTAATGAAGAAACTATTGTTATAGGACACTTCAGGAACATTTTGCAGGTCTTTTCCCGAGGGATAATCCCAAAAACACAAGATTTGCCATTAATTTTTTCACATCGATCGGTTTAGGTGGACTGACAGATGGTTTAAGGGAGCACTTAAAGGCAATGCCAAAGAATCCAACGATGAATTTAGTTCAACAGTCCAGTTCATCCGATTCAGACGAATCCAGTAATTCAAGTAGTGCAAGTTCTAGTTCTGGTACTTATTAAATTTTAAATAAATAAATAACACTAACATAATCTTCTACTATTTTGAGGTTTTTCTCACTATCATCTTTTTATAGATTCCTCCGATTCTTCAACGGAATCTTCTTCAGATGGTGAAAGTGAAAAGAAAAAGAAACAAAAAGAAAAAAATCGAGTTAAAGGCGAGAAAAAGAAAAATACTGAGAGAAATACCTCTGAAACTAAGAAAAAACAGAGAGATAGTTCTGACGAGAACAGAAAAAAATCTTCAAAAAAGGATCCACGGAAAGATGCAGCACAAGACAAACACCAGAAAGACAAAGACAGACACGAGGTTAATGTGGAAAGGCTGCGAAAAGAAAGAGAAATGTACGAAAATACGAGAACTAAAAGATCAAAATCGCGAGACAGACAAAAACTCAAAGAAAGTTCCAGGAATCGTGATTATAAACGAGAAGACAGAATGAGTTCGAGAGATAATAGGAATAGGAGGAGATGAATATAATTTTAACATAAAAATTACATATATATATTTATCAGGCTTGTAGTATCTAAAGCATTTGTAAATATATGACATTTTTTTCTAGAATAGTTCACAGTGTTATTTTTTCTTTTGGAACAAAAGTACTACAATCTTTTTCTGGATTTTCTTCAACAAGAATTGGAGAAGGAAGGCATTTTTTCAATAGTTCCAGAAAAGTGTCGATACATACTAAACCAGTTCCATCACGTTCAACCCCCTTTTGCCATATTTTTTGAAACGAATCGTCAGGAAATTTGTATCCAAGATTTTCGAAAAGTAATTTCATTTTCTCCGGTTTAATTGGCTAAAATGTACAGATACTTGTTAGGATGTTAAGTGTTAAACTTAAAACCGAATATTAGCCATTGGTATATTAATCAACTTATGCACACCTTAGCAAACACCTTTAACTTATTCAATTATAATTAAAACGTAATCGTTAATGTAATTGATAGGATTTACAAGTATTGTCAAACGAATAAGTTAAAGATATTTCATTTTTACTCAGCCTCTACCGCGTAAGGCAACTAGGCATTTTTTTGGTGTTCATTTAGAACATTTTTGTTATAGTTGTTAAAAAAAAAATAAATAATTTAATTGTGATTATACCACTTACAGTGAGGAGATCTCTGTGTGAGAGACCAGAATTAGTGTATACACTGGGATTCAACAAGGATGCTGCAGACATTTCATCTCCTAAATTTTCTAAATCTGCTTTACATTGGCAGGCTTTGACTACGCCTTCGGGACGATCAAAACGAACGCTTGGTAGACCAGCAGGTGGCTTATCTGTATAATATTAATATACATATAACAAAAACAGGCATTAACAAAGAGTGATTCTTAGAACATATTAATGAATTATGGTTTCAAAGTCAATTCATTTACAATATAAGTAATCATTTTTAGCACCATTTAGGGTGTAATGTTTATGTTATAGTCCGAATTTAGAGTCAGCCGCAATGGAAAACATGTATCTGCTTTATGAAACGGCGATATTCGAAAAAACGACTAACATGTAGGCGGACTATCACTGCACTTATTAAATTGTTTGTTAATACATATCAAACTGGAGTGGCAGTTTGGTCCACAAGAAATTTTCTTCTTGAAACAGGTACATCTGTTTGTGCGACACTGATTTTCTGTGGGCTTGCAACAACATCTTTGAAACTCTTGACCACCAAATAAAGACTCTTCAGTCGTCTCTTCTTGTAATAACATTGTATTTGCTGTTTCTTCATTGCAGTCATTTGAAAGAATTGGTAAACCAGTTTTCGGATCACATCCGAATAGAGCATGGTAAGGTGATTTTCCTGTGATTCTATGATATGCAGCATTCTTTTGATACTGGACAAAATTACATCCAACAGACCAATTTGTTGAATTATTGTCATGCATCCAAGTGTGGACCAAACTCTCCACATCTAGATTACTACATTCCATACTAGCTTGGGCCTCTGCATGTCTAGAGCTCCCTTGTACAATTTTGCATTCTGGCCACATTTTCACAACTTCTTCTATAACTTTGGCTGTAAACTCATGACCGCTGCTGCTCTGCAAAACAAATGGTGCACCAAATGTCAAAAAGATCTTCACTAATTCTAAAGCAACTTCAGATGCTTGTTTGGTTCGGAGTGGTCGAAGTTGAAGAAATTTGGTGGAGTTGTCTTGATAATTCAGCAACCATTTAAAGTCCCCGTCTGCCGTTGACCGAAAATCGATTAAATCAATTTGGCCCATAATGTTAAAGTCTGTTGAAACTATTGGTTTTGTAGCTATTGATGATTTCCTTGGTAAACCACGTTTTCTTTCACAAATGGGACATAAGGATACGAATAATTCAACAGCTTTTTTTGGTATGTAGAATCTATTTTTTATACAATACAACATTTTATCGCGACCGCCGTGGCCACTTTCTTTATGGATTTCCAATAATAAATCAAAGTACTGTTCTGTAGCTACCACAGGAATAGTAGGGTCATCAGGATTATTTTTTTTTAAAATTAGGCAATCCTCATTGGCAATCCTCGTTAAATCGTATTTCCTACACCAATAATATTGCTTAGATGTCCGCCGAAACCCACATTCCATTGCCGTTTTAGCAGTTTTAAGAAGTAATATAACCTCTAAGATTCGTGCGTTTGTCCACGGCCTTTTTTGACTTCCACCTTGAGATTCATAAAAATCTTCTAGTTGTTGTTGAAATTTTTCTTTAAATTCACTGTTGTCACACATATTTTGCATGTTTGCACTTGTAAAGCAGTTATCATTCGCCCTTTCTACTTCGACTTTTGTCGCCATTGTTGTTATGATTGTGGTTTGTGGTTATTAGTCAATAAATGATCAATAGTCACCTATGATAGTCATTCATCAGTCATGTATTAGCTGTTGGTCTTTCTTATCTTTTTGTGGTCTTATGAGTGCATTATTATTATGGTCTGATATTGGTCTTTGATTATTACATTACAGCTATTGCTAATGGGGATTCTTTACCTGAAAGTTCAGTTTTCAAAAAGTCGCAATGCATTGCTTGATATGTTGTGGTGTAATACTGATTCTTTTTGGGAATATCTAAAATAAAATTTAATTATGTTTTTAGTCTTTAATTATTCAATTATAAGTAAAAGTATACCATTAATTTTCACAAGTTCTGGAACCGCTTTGTTTATATCAATGAGATCTATGAAAGTGTCGTAATTTATGCGACCATTTTTGAGTACCCCGCACAGTTCCATTAATGGCTCAAAAAGGCTGTGATCGAAATTTATTTTGTAACACTTGCACATTTCGTAAAGGAATTCTAAACTCGTCCAACCTGTTGCTTCCTAAAAATTTTTCAGTTATTGGTTTCCTAATTATAATCTGTTGAAATAAAATATATTCTATTGAAAAAGGTCCCTAGCCTGCGCCATTTTAGCGTACCATATGTGTTGTACGGAGATCAGCCTACATTATTTATTACCTTATCATAATAAGCTATTCTATTTTTAAAACTTCTCAGATCAAATCCAAACTCATTGCTCCTTTTTTTAACATTTCTTCGTATTTGATTTAAGTGTTCTATCCAGTCATGATAATCCCTTTTGAAAATACACGGTGGACGATCGGCATCTTTCAGAAGTTCCTCCATTCCATATAGTTCCCTTTTACACGGTTTTCCATACATAAAACCTCGTGGAACACTTTTATTATTTTCACATCTTCAAGAGGATAACAAATTCGTGATGAAAACGGAAATTACAAAAACGAAATTAATTAATGGGAAACACTTACGGTTCCATATATCTTCCAAGTTGAGGTTTCATGCGTTCGCGAACCTTAGCTTGTGATGTATGAACGGGTATGACAGGTTTGGTATCAAACCATGTTGATGCACATTTCACCCAAATTCCTCTTGGATCGTATGTTGTTTTGATACCATATCGTTTGTCCGGATTATAGGCAGGCTGTTTATACCTAAAAAGATGATAAAAATTTATTCCTCAAAACCTGTCCAAAGAATTATTATAATAAATATATGTACATAATGCATTCAGTATAGGTGTTAGGTACAATTGAATCCTGGATTAGGCGTTGGGGCCATTATTCCAAGAAACTTAACGTTTGCATGTTATGTTCCTATAAATGGTCATTTAATAGTCGCGTATCATAAGTGGGATCGTCCTGGTGATGGGCTAATGTCCAGTAATAATTGAATCGAAAAATTAAGTGTTTTTGTCGTGTTACATTCACGATGTTCTCACCCTCTATCAATTTGTTCAGCAGGGTAATAATCACCATGACTTTTTTTGTACAAGTCGTGACCGATGTGACTTTCGCAGCACACCGTTCTTGGACTTTTTGGTGGATTTACCAATACTCCAGCGGGTACATCTAAAATAAAAAGTAATACATTCTTTCTTAATATGATCTAAAACAATAGACGTTTCATAAAGCATATTACCTTTCACTGAAGCTTTCCCTAAAGTAATTTTATGTACGGGGTCCATTTTTGAAGGAAGTCCTGACGGAATTCCTTTAAATGGATCCCTCGGCTTCCCTACTATCTTATTCCATGTTGAATCGTACGTAGATTCTCTGAGTTCATTTAAAAATAATTGATAACTTGTAGTTTGGGGTGGTCTTAAAATGGCCCGAGACTTTCCAATAAAAAAAAGATAGTAGAAGGTACAAAAAAATAACAAATAAAAACAATACTTCTGTATAGATTCCTTTATGTCGTGTATTTTCAAGATGAGGTTGCCTGTAGATAAAAGGAGTTCTTTGTTCTTCAAAAATAGTAGCGTCATGCTTAAGAGCATTTATTTTATCATCAAGAGGATAATTTTTCATACGAGTTCCTACATTTTCTGGATCCACAAAAACTTTTCCAGCCTTTAAAAGATTTAATGGCAAAAAATTGCAGTTAATGAAAAACTAATAAAACTTTACCGCACATATGACAGGGGCCGTATCGGAAAATTTTCCCTCGTTAGCGGTCATTTCGTAAAATCAACTAGTTTCTTAGTAGTAAAAACATCGAAAAATAACGCAAAAAACTTAAAACAACATAACATATTACAAAAGGATGTCAATATGAATTTTTCAATTTCCCGCTGCCTTTACTAGTTTCAATTTTGATAAATGTGGCCGCTAGAGTGCTTTAATGTTTTTAATTTTTATGGCTTTCGGAAAGTGAAATTTATATAAATTTTTTGAGGTAAGTCATAATTGTGTGCATTTAAATACTTAATATACATGACAGGTTAAGAAAAATCCTGTTTCTATTTTAATTTAGTCGTTCAATTAATAGGACAGCTCAACATTTTTTTCATCAACCAAGCTGTCAGTGTCAAATTATCCCAACTACTGTCATTTTATTCGTACCTTTCGGAGCAGCGAATACTGTGTAAATAGTGTTAAATAATTTTCTTATTCTTATAAGTTATTTATTGTTTCTTGCATGTTAGCAAAAGTTATAGGTTTTTAAAGTGTTTACACCATCGTTTAAACAGTAATCTTTTGTGTAAAGGTAGGTTAGACTTTGTTATTAATCTTGTCAAATGCGTCATAAGCTGATTAATAGAACCCAAATTTATTAAAATATTGCTTTAATATAAGCCTAAAAAACCCAGTTTTCCAGTTTTTTTATAAGTTCATTCGTTACAGTTATCGATGTTTTCATGAAAATAACTTAATTGATCAGGTATGTTAGTGCCCTTGAATATCTTCTAACAACGGTTACACTGTGGTAACGAGGTACGCCGCCCCCTTTGTATTTGCATTTTTATTCTGCTTTTTTTGTTTGATTTTTTTCAAGTAAGTGTATGTAATCGTCAAGTAACATGATAGTGTCTTATGGAGATCTAAAGAGTGTCTTAATTAGATAATGGATAGAAGAAAGGAAGTGCCTTAAGTGTTGATTATAAATATCTGAATTGGCTTTTTTAATTAATAAACGTTTCTAAGATATGTGGTTCCTTGTTTTAATGCTACTAAATTTAAAATATAGTGATTGTTTGCCCCAATAAGTACTAGTTTTTGTTTAGGCATTTTAAAAATTACCTAATAGATGTTTCAGTGTAATTATATGAACTATTGATTGGGCATTGCAGTTTTAAATTAAATTAACAGTTTTAAACAGAAAATCTTTAGTGATCCTTACATTTATGTAATATGTTAATATTTTAAATGTTGGCTTATTACAGAAATGGCAAATAGAACAGGTACAGCTCAGAGGCCAAATGGCCAAACTCAAGGAAAAATTTGCCAATTTAAATTGGTTCTGTTGGGCGAATCTGCCGTAGGAAAATCCAGTTTAGTGTTGCGGTTTGTTAAAGGACAGTTTCACGAATACCAAGAAAGTACTATAGGAGCGGCATTTTTAACTCAAACCGTTTGTTTAGATGATACAACTGTGAAATTTGAAATATGGGACACTGCTGGGCAAGAAAGGTATTTTTGGTTTTAATTTATAAACAAATTATTAAATTCTTTTTATTATCATACAATTCATTGAATATTTATAGCTTTGAATTGTTAATATGTTAAATTATTTAAAAAATTTTGTCAAAAATAAGTATATGTTATGTCCTATTACAGTAAGAGTTTCAATGCCAATGTTTATTATGTGGAGTTGATTACTAATTCTTTTTGATAATGCTGTTCATCATATAGTGTGATAAGAGTTCATTTGTCTGTGATATGTTAAGTGTTGATAAATTCCATGCTGTTTATTAATATTTTTGGTAGTAAAAATCATCAGAATGGTAAATACAACAGAGCAAGGAAAATTATTTTAATAATTTTTATCTTCCCAGTTTTCACTATTTTCAATTAACTTAGAGGAAACTTTTTAATTTAAGTGCCAAACAATCAAACCATAAGCAATTTATTACTGAAGTTTACTGTCTTGACTAGTATTACCAGTATACAGGTAATTCACCTTATATTGCTTTTTATAGGTACCACAGTTTAGCTCCCATGTATTATAGAGGTGCTCAGGCAGCCATAGTCGTTTATGACATCACGAATCAGGATACGTTCGGCCGGGCAAAGACTTGGGTTAAAGAATTGCAAAGACAGGCAAGCCCCAATATAGTGATTGCTCTAGCTGGGAATAAACAGGACCTGGCGAATAAACGCATGGTCGAATTCGAAGAGGCGCACGCCTATGCGGACGAACACGGTCTCTTGTTTATGGAGACTTCTGCGAAGACCGCGATGAATGTTAATGATATTTTCCTTGCTATTGGTAAGAATTAAATATGTCCTTTTTATGCAAACCCCCGTGAAGGTGAAAATAAAAATTTGGATTATCTGTGTACTTTTGAGTTATATGAAAGATTTCATGTTTTTTATATTATTTATACAGCGATAATAGTATTTATTTTTTAAATTATTCACCAATTAGAATTTGTAAATATTTGATTAAAATTGTATTTACAGTAGAGTTTTAATTTTCTAGTTCTCGTATTCCTCATTACAATGGTAAGAAACAAAAATTATGAAGAAGAAAATCAAATTTTTGATATGCTCTTGTATTTGTAATTGAATGATTTAAGATATTCTTAATTTTTTGAATATATGACAAAAACTATATTTCTGTGTTTAGAATTGGTAAAATGTTCAAATGCAGTTTATATTTGATATGAGAAATTAAAAATTGCTATTGTAAATATGATTTTGTTTAGAATTACTCTTTGTCTTTTAGTTTAATTATTTATTTTGTTTTAGTATGTATTTTTGTATAAATGCATCCAATATCAATCAGTCAATCAAAAAGGCAAAGATCATTTTACAACTTAAATTTACAACAGTTTGATTAAATATTCTTGTTGTAGCGAAAAAACTTCCTAAAAATGAACAAGCCGGTGCTCCTGGAGGCGGCGGTCAAGGAAGACGATTGGTCGACGGTGATACGGGGCCAAAGGCAGCAGGAAATTGCTGCAAGTGATGGCATTTTAATTCTAAGGGTTTGACACCCTTTTGTCTATAAGACACTGAACTGCGTGTGTACGCTATAGTGATATATAAGTGTAATAAAAAAAATATGGAGCCCCTCTTTAACATAGTTATGAACTATCTCTAATATCACAAGTACTATTTTTAATTTTTCAATATCACAAGTTCTACAATTATTGTCCGATTTAGGCATTTGGTTTCCACTCCGAAAACGTTAGAATAATTATTTATAAACAAAAAGCAAAAAGTCCGTGTGATACGAAAAAAGGTTTTTTGGAAACGTTGCAGTATAATTAATTATGTAATTATTATCTCTTTTTCTCCTTGGGATTGGCTAGACATTGTCGTCGTACACATTTGTAGATTAACGTATCAAAAACAACAAAAAAAGTAATATGACCCACTTTTTAGTGTCTATACGATATAAATATACATATATAAATAAATATGAAGTACGATTAAATATTTTATATTAATTATTATATAGCATTTTTCATTTTCCTTACTCTTTAAGATCTACTTACTGTTGTTAATTATTTTAGAAGTAAATAAATTTATTTATCTTATTGTAAAGATCGAAACCTTGTAAAAATGTTGGAAGTAGGACGGGAAATTGGTTTAATAAAAGATACAAATTGTGTTAAGATCGAAGTGTTTTTACTGCATATAAACATTAATATTACATACGTACTTGGAACAGTAGCTTAGAAATAGATATTTCTAAATAAAGAAGCTATATCAAATTCAGTATATTTATTTTCACTTATCTTAATCTTAATTACCTTATCAAACACTAAAGGCTAGTATTGCTAGTGGTTGAAATTCGAGCAACTGTGTTGCTTTAATCTACCTAAATAGGAAAAGGTATTGAAACTGCACGTTGTTACGGAGGCAGTGTTACGACGATCTTTTTAGAGATTTCTATTTTCGAAAATAATTACAAAAGAAAGATTGTATTTTCATATAAGTAATTGAAGTTTAATAAATTTGATAATAAATATTCCTATCTGCGGAATATAAAAATATACGTAATTATTTATTAATTTCAATTGAGATACATATACATCAAATATTTATATATATTTTGTCTGTAATAAAAACAAAAAAAACAGCAAAAAGTACTATCAGATAATTTATCATAATAATCAGTATATTTACAATGTGATTGATAGGTACCTATACTATGTACCCATACTTATAAGCTTGTGTGGTTGCAGATGTTTTATATCGGAGTTCGGCACGTTCGGCATAAAAACACAAAAACGTGAACAATTTAAAGGGAAAAAACAACAAAAAAAAAGCAGATGGAAATATTCTGTTTCTAAATTTAGAACATGTAAAACAAATTCTGCTGACGGATTCTCAGTTTATTGAAGTTGTAGTATTAGCCATGAACTTATTATTTGTAGTGGGGTGTAAGGGTAGGCTATGTAAAAATGTCAATATGTTGAGGGTTTTGCCTTCAAAAACAATTTTATAGTTTTTGACTTAAATTTAAAATTCACGTTAACAAAAGATTTCGTTAGAAATGGATTTATTAACATCAACAAACTCAGAATTACAATTTAGTTTAGTTGGTTGCCAATATGTGGACAAGGGAAATGTATGTGGTGAAAAAGACTCTTTGGCGATTATCGTGGAAATGCAAAAAATGTATGAAGAAAAAATGAGTATTTTAGATCGTGAAGGAGGCGGCGATTACGAAGCAGTAAGCTGAAAACTCTTAATGTATTTTATCGCCATGTAGTCTTCCATAACAAAATATGACACATGTCAATGTTTGTTTTGTTTTGATTATCATGCTTTGTTTTGTCTGTCCCTGGCAAATAGAGAATATTAAAGCGGGAATTTGAATTTAGTTACAGGCAAAAAACAGACTCCAAGAAATGTGGATAAAAGACCTTATTCAGCAAAGTAAGATGCTTATATCAGCTATTCAAGAATTAGAACGTGAAGCTACAGAACGTGTACGACTTTTGGAACAGAGAATAAAAAAGAACTCCCACACTGGCACTGAGGTAAATGTTGCAATTATTGTTAATAAATTGTTTAAAAGAAACAACTTAATATTACTGTTAGGTTTAAAAAATTATTTGTAATCTATAGAACAGTGGCTATTTTAATTTTTTGGTTTTTGTCTTTACTTTTGGTTTTTAACTATTCTCTTTCACACAGGTAATGAGTAAATATAGAGACTTAGATATCAGATATAATATAAGTGAAACTTATCAGAGTGTAATATACCTTCAATCTGATATTCATAACTTAGTAAAAATAATTAAGCAGTTTCAAAACGATGGGGTTTGGTCTTCTGAGGGCTTCCATTTTTACTTTGTAAATAGTGATGACTTAAAATTTGATGCTCAAAGAGCTATTGTAAATATGATTTTGTTTAGAATTACTCTTTGTCTTTTAGTTTAATTATTTATTTTGTTTTAGTATGTATTTTTGTATAAATGCATCCAATATCAATCAGTCAATCAAAAAGGCAAAGATCATTTTACAACTTAAATTTACAACAGTTTGATTAAATATTCTTGTTGTAGCGAAAAAACTTCCTAAAAATGAACAAGCCGGTGCTCCTGGAGGCGGCGGTCAAGGAAGACGANATTATTCTAAAAGAGAATATTTTTAGGAGGAATATGAGAAAATGAAAAAAGAGTTCATAGAGCAAACAAAAAAAGATTTTGAAGAAGAATTGAAGCAATTAGTAAGTATTTACTCCTAATACTCTCTTGTATCATGTCACAAAATGTCCTTCTCTTTAGAAAAGCGACAATATGACCATCAAGGAGAAATACGAAACTAGTTTGATTGAACTAGAAAAGGCCATTAAAGAAAAAGAAATGCGCGAAGAAAAAATGAAAGAACTGGGATGTGCAGTAAGTGAAATATAAACCGCACGTTTTAGTTCTGTTTACTGTATTTTATTAAATAATTATTAGATCCAACAGTGCGAGGAGTATCAGAAAAAATACGAAAAAGGCTTAGCCGAAATTAAGAAAATTAACAGAGAAAAGGAGGAACACGAGAAGAAAATTAAAGAATTGGAACAATCAGTAAGCTTAATAATTATAATTATTATCTTAAGAGATTTTATATTCACATTTCAGTAATAGGTCTTTTAGACTTTGAATTAGTCATTTTTTGATTAAATTTTGAAGTGTCTGTATTTTGTGGTAGTATTTTTTAAATGCACATTTAATTAAATAAGAAGTGTTTTGGCCAGCATTAGACTAATATGAAAGCAGTGAAGTGAATAATGTATTATAGATGAATCCATTATTTTCAGCTGGAGGAACTGAAAAAGGACATCCAAGAAAAGGACCTGTAAGTTACAAAAAATTCTCTGCATTAGAGTATAAGGAATATGTATATGTTTTTAGGAGGATTAAAAAATTGGATTCTGTTGTAAAGGATTTAAGGACAAAAACTGGCAGTAAAAATACAAATGGAGTTGAAGAATTAAAAAGGGTTAGTTAATTGCTAGTCCTGAAATATATAACTTTTATAGTTAAATTAATTACTTTGTAATTAGGCTATGGAGGACATGAGATCAGCTCTTACAGCAGAAGTGGCAGACAAGCATGAGATTATACTATCTCTTCGACGAGACATTCATCAGTTGGAGGAGCAATGCAAACAGGCTGATAAGCAAATGATTTTTAAGGATGACATTATTAAAGAAATGAGGAAAGACATTAAACATCTTAAATCTGAGGTATCTTACTAATTTATTTGAATTAATTTGATAAATAACATTTGTTGGATTACTTTAATATATGCACTATCTTTTCCAATCATCATTAACAATTTTCTGTGTAAATACCTTCAAAGGAAAGAAATATTTTTTATGAAAAGGATTATTTTCACAGTTACTTTAATTTTAATATAATCTTAATATTATTAATATATTCCTGTGATT